AGGAGGCTAATTTTGAGTGAAGCAACTCCCTTCAGCTGAGGGCAATTTCTTGAGAGGGACTCATTTATGGCCCCATTTATGGCATCTGGAGAAATGAGGGCCTCCGTCCTGAAGGACAGCATATGCCAGAGCACCCACTACAATGCCAAGGGCAGTAAAACCATCTAGATAAGACTGCTGAAATGGATTACAGATTTTGCAGGAAAATCAGAGTATTATTATAGAGCCAGCTTTTAAGCAGAAATAGGCAAAACCATGGTAAGACATACCCAGGAGCGCCTGGGTGGCTCAGTCAGCTGGGCATCTGCCTTCAGCTCAGGTCACGATCCCAGAGTCCAGGGATTGAGTCCCGTGTCGGGCTCCCTGCTCGGCGGGGTGTCTGCTTCTCCCTCTGCTCTTCACCCTACCTCTTCTCTCACGCACACGTGCTCTCTCTCTCAAATAAATAAATAAATAATAAAATCCTTAAGAAAAAAAAGACGTACCCTGGGTAGCATCACTGCCTATACTTAATATATACCAATTGTATATACTAATACAATGTGATGAAAAGTAGTATTTATACCAATAATGATTTCCAGAGTTCAACCAGGTACATAGAGTGACCTAAATCATTTTTTAGCCAGAAAAAATTTCTCTTTATACTTCATTTTGAAAAGTTGAGCTTGAAATTTCACATGGATTTTATAAATAGGCCTGTGTTACATTTTTCTTGTACATGTCACAACTTAGACCATCTAGGTTTGAATTTCTGACCTACTATTAAATAGCTTTGTGGCACTGGTTTAAATAAAAGCACTCAGTAAATGTTATCTATTATTACATTTGTTGTTATTCTGTCACTATGAAGTGTGTATGGTTGCAGGGAAGCCCCTGGTGGTTTTGGGTTAGCAGCAGTGATATAAATCAATATTTAGAAAGGATAAATGTTGGGGTGCCTAGGTGTCTCAGTCAGTTAAGCAGCCAATTCTTGGTTTTGGCTCAGGTCATGATCTCAGAGCCTTGCATCGGGCTCTGCACTTAGCGGGGAATCTGCTTCAGCCTCTCTCTTCCTCTCTCTCTGGCCCTCCCCACTGTGCTCTCTCTCTCTAAAACAAATAAATTAAAGTGTTAAAACAGATACGGAATGTTTTGGAGGACAGAAGGACTACAGACTGGTGGAAGAGAGTTCATCACTTCTTACATGATTCCAGATATACAGTGAAGACTATGATTCCAAATTGCCTTCTCCAATTCCTTAACTTCACCATGTTTTCCTATATTATTTCCCTTTATCTTATCCAGTAGTTTTCAAAGTTTAGGATTCAATGAAATCACTTAACCAGGTTTTTGAGACATGTGTTCTTTATCCAGAGGATGAGAGTTAGACTCTGTATTTTTTAATAAATTTGCTAGGTAAATATGATGCTTGCCAAAGTGTGAGAATCACTGATTTACCCCTTTCTCTAATATCCTTTCTCACTTTCCTACACAAAAATCTTCTAATTTTCAGTGTTATTGTCCAATTTTTAGATTACAAATCCATAACTGAAAGCTGTCTGTCACGTCTCATTGACATCATTGAAAGTTTAATGATCGTACTTTTTTTTTTTAAAGATTTTATTTAATTGACAGAAGGAGCGACAGCAAGAGAGGGAACACAAGCAGGGGGAGTGGGAGAGGGAGAAGGAGGCCTCCCGCCGAGCAGGGAGCCCGATGCGGGGCTCGATCCCAGGACCCTGGGACCATGACCTGAGCCGAAGGCAGACGCTCAACGACTGAGCCACCCAGGCGCCCCTGATGATCGTACTTTTAGCACAGAAATTTCCTTCCTTCCAGGAGTGCCTGGATGGTGCAGTCGGTTGAGCATTCAACTCTTGGTTTCAGCTCAGGTCGTGATCTCAAGGTCGTGATCTCAGGGTCGTGGGATCAAGCCCCATATTGGGCTCCACGCTGAGTGCAGAATCGGCGTGGGACTCCCTCTCCCTCTGCCCTTCCCCCTGTGCTCTCTCTCTTGCTTGCTCTAAACATAAATAAATCTTAAAAAAGAAAGAAAGAAAGAAAGAAATTTCCTTTCTTCCAAAGTAGTAAATCAAAGTAGGAGTTTTTTGTTCTTTCATGTTTCACACTTGGAGTCTAGGGTATTTATGAACATTACTCATCCCAACACAAAATAATGGAACAACTTTTAAGCCATGAGCTTAAGTGTTCCTGATTCAGAGAAAATTAGGAATGTAAAAGCTGTGTACAGAGCAAAAGGAAAATCAAAAAACATTTCAGCACCAAGCAAAAAATGCCTTCTGCTGGCCAATACACAAACCTTAGTCTTTATCTGAGAATTCTTACTTGAGAGAAAGCTTATTAACATTTTATCTTTTTTAAAGATTTTATTTTATTTATTTGACAGAAAGAGAGAATGAGAGAGAGAGAACACACAGAAGCAGGCTTCCCGCCGAGCAGGGAGCCTGATTCGGGGCTGGATCCCAGGACCCTGGGATCATGACCTGAGCCGAAGGCAGACGCCCAACGACTGAGCCACCCAGGCGCCTGGCTTATGAACATTTTAAATCTGAAAAAAACTGTAGTGATTTCTAACCCAACATCAGAAAATTCAAGCTGGAATCAAACTCTATGAAGATAATTCCCGCATGTACAGAACAGGCATTACTCAACATGAAATAACTCATAAGGTAGAAAACCCCTCTAAATGCAATATATATTGACAATCCTTTAATCGTCATTCACCCCTTATTGAATGCCAGGATATTTATGCTAAATATAAAGTTTCTAAATATATATAATGTGGGAAGATTTTTAGTTATTGCTCCAGCCATATTAAAACATCAGAGAATTCATACTGAAGAAAGACTCTATGAAACTAATGAGCATAATAAAGTCTTTAGATACCATTAAGACTTCATTACACATCAGAGACTTCTAGGCCAAGATCCAATTTTACCCAAAATAAACGAAGAAAACAGGTTCCATCCCCATTGTGAAGTCTGAAAGAACTAGATATGGGGGGATAAACTAAATTGCCTACTTAAATGAGAAGGGCACTTGTGATGAGCACTGGGTGTTGTATTTAAGTGATGAATCACCAGATTCTACCCCTGAAACTAATGTTATGCTGTATGTAAACTAACTGGAATTTGAATAAAAACTTGAAAAAAAATAAACTGCCTACTTAAAAAAAAAAAAGCCTTGTCTTTTAAAACGCACTTAGCAGTTTGATCCAATTCACTTAGGAAATCAACTAATTTATTAACAAATTAAGTACCAGGGGCACCTGGGTGGCTCAGTCGGTAAAGCGTTGGCCTTCAGTTCAGGTCATGGTCCCGGGGTCCTGGGATCGAGCCCCGCATCGGGCTCCCTGCTCCGCGGGAAGCCTGCTTCTCCCTCTGCCACTCCCCCTGCTGGTGTTCCTGCTCTCACGATCTCTCTCTGTCAAATGAATAAATAAAATCTTTAAAAAAAAAGCTGACAGTTAAGTTTGTAGTTACTTTCCACCCAACTTACTTTGGTACTAATTTCTTTTATTTTTTTTAAGATTTTATTTCTTTATTTGAGAGAGAGAGAGCATGAGAGCGGAGTGAGGGCCAGAAGGAGAAGCCGACTCCCCACTGAGCAGGGAGCCCCAGGTGGGGCTTGATCTGGGGACTCTGGGATCATGACCTGAGCTGAAGGCAGACACTTAACCGACTGAGCCACCCAGGCACCTGGAAACTATCAGTTTTAGTCAAATCATCAGCAAATTGTGACAAGGTGTGGACTCGTCCCAAAGACTGAGCCACAAAGAACAATATCAAGGATAAGGAGTCTATCCAGGATCATAGGTACCATGTAACTAGTGTCTATAAGCAATCTGAACCGTAACTGGATGCAGGATGAAGTAAACAGCAAGTCGGCGATCTGCTGCACAGGTGACCCTGTTCTGTTGGGAAGACGCTGTCCGCTTCGCGCAGTTCTGTGCTCCGAACATTTCCTAAGAATCTTCAGGGAGGCCTCCCGCTAGCGCAGTTTTCCGGTTATTTAATAATGATGCCTTGAGACCAAGATCAACAACTTGAAGATTTAATGTTTTCTGTCGGTAACAGCATTCACGGGAAGCCAAAACATATGAAAAGTACGTGACATACGTGATAAGTATAGTCTGTAAGTAAAAACTGTAACTACGTTGAATGGAAGCCTACATGGTACGTTCGTTATAATGGTTTCCCCAGGAGTGGTGGTTCTTCCCCATTTTTTGATAAAAAATTCTAGTAAGATTTTATATTTAATTTTTTAAAAACTGGTTCATCAAGTTGTTTTTTGCTATTTTAATCCCTTAACTGCTGCTTTTATATTAATTCCCTTCCACCTCTTTCCATAATTATACTTTCTTTCTCCCTAAATTCCTTATTTCATTTATTTTCATTCCTTTTGTCAGTGCTGTTGGTTGGATGTACCAAAACTTACCTAAGTCATTTGTAGATGACTTTGATCTAGCATGAACAATGGAAAGGACACAAAAGTTTCTTCCTGGTGACACATTTACGTTCACTCACACATACATCTGGGGCCGCGCAGACCCCATGCCGGGTCTCTGACACAAGAACCCCCAGGCAGCGCCGAGCGGCTGTCAACCGGAAACCACGGAACTGCCGATCGGAAGAGGCGCGCCGCGGAGCCCTCGGGGAGTTGTAGTTCCGGGGCGAGCGGCACTCTGGGAAGTGTAGTTCCGCGCGCGCACTTCCGCGGTCAGCCGCGTGAGTCCCGGCGCCTCGGGCCGGAGCGGGAGGGTGTGTGCGGCGGGGGGCGGAGCGGCGAGGCTGCGGGGCTGGGGTGGCCTCGGTGACCGTGCGGCCCCGTGGTGACCCCGGCGCACGGGCGAACTGGCTCGGGAGCCGGGTGCGATGAGGGTGCGGGGTGGGTCCGGGGACGGCCCCGCGGCACAGGCGCCGGTTCCCGGCCGGGCGGGGCGGCCTCGGGGCTGCGTTTAGGGGACGGGGTGCGTGGAGACGGGGCGAGTGTGCGGGGCCGCCTGTAGTGGCCGTGATGAGGCCCTGAGGGAGGCCGTGGAGCAGGGGGCACCGGCCGCCCAAGACGCTGGCGTGTCTTTGATCAGAGTCAGTGCGATCTGGGGCTGGGGCCGGGACGAGCGGCCGTTAGCGAGTCGGGGGCGGGGGCTGTGGCGGAGGCCTGGGCTGGAGCGGGCGGCCGGGATGCGGGTGCGGGAGCCCCTGGAGGCTGCCCTCCGCAGTGTGCCGTCGGGATGCGGCTTGAGGGCGGCTTTGCCGGAAAACAGGGCCTCTGGTGACCGGTGACTGAGGTGCCTTTGGGTTGGCAAGTGGTAAGGCCTCTGTTTTGGGGGTGTTTAGAGGACTCAGGATTGGCGGACCGAGGATTTCGTCGACTGGAAGGCCTGTTGGTTCGTGACCGGGTTGGGTTTCACCTGAGCCCTAGGCTCCTGGGGCGCAGGAAGGTTGAGAAATCTACCCCCTCCCCGTGTGCTCCAGGAAAGACATCGCTGCAGAGAACCCCCTTGCCTGGGTGACCCCGTAACACATGCCCCCTTGTTGGCCTGTGACAAGGCCACATACCAGTCCTCCCAGCTCGCATCCTGTGCCTCACCAGCGGCTGGCTGGACTGTAGCGCCTGCTGATCAACCAGGACAAAAAGCGCGGGTTTGACACGGGGTCTGGATGCAAGCTGGTGGGTGATCTATTTGGGGTTGTGAATGAGCAGACAGTGGGGGTAGGAATTGGAGGTATCAGCCTATTGGTGTTAATGTAGAGCTGGTGGCCCTTTTGGGTGTTGATTAGGAGGACCGTAGGGGTGTTAGTGAATGGTGGGTGAGCATGGGGTAGATTAGAAAATGGGGTCTCATGGAAATGAATGGTTAGGGCCCCTGTATGATTAGGGATTGGCCATCCCTTGGGTGTAGTGATGGAGGCTAGCAAGCCTGAGGGGGCTCTGTGAGAACAGTGACTGGGGCACTTTTAGGGTGAGTGGATGGGTAACTGTAGGAAGGAGTTGGGATTCTGTGGGGGTTCTTTGGGACTCTGTGTTTAGGATTTCACTGACTCCACTTCTAGTCAACAAATAGAATAGACTCTGTCAAGATTATTGGGTGGGAGTGCGGGGCATCCAGTGATGGGGTTTCGTGGCGTCAGTGTTGAGAAGCTTTTGGGAATCAGTGATGAGAGGCTGACCATGGCTGGTGTTTGGGGCTGAGTGAGGAGGAGCCTGGAATGATCAGGAATCAGGGGTCCTGTAGATACCTGGTTGGGGGTGGGGCTGTGGAGAGACTTTGGATTTCATTGATGGATACACTCCTGTGTCACCTGGGGGTTGATGATTGGGGGCTTTGCTAGAGGAGTCACTGGGGATGTGCATGTGTAACTGAAGGTCCAGGAGGGACAGCCTGTAAAGTCAGCAGTCAGGGTCCTGGTGGGATGAGGGACAAGTGGGGGAAGTGATAGTGGGGCTTGTGGCGCTCGGTGACTGTGTGGTCTGGAGACTTGTGAGGGCTCTGTTGTGGTCAGTGAATGAGGGGCTGGAGAATTCTCAGGTGGTCAGTGTGGGTAAGTGGGAGCCTCTGAGTGCTTAAGTTCCGTCCATGGGCTGGGGTGGCAGGGGGGTTCAGTCATTCTGTGGGGACTTATGTGTGATTGAGGCTATCTTTGGTGATAGGACCTCTGGGAGTTGTGTTTGTAGGTTTGGGTGGGTCCCAGTGAGTGTTGGTCACACATTGGCTCAGGCAAGACTCTCACATAGTGACTTCTGTTGAATGACATACTCTTTTTTGTTCTTTGGTTCTTCTCACCCAGCACATCACGTTGTTGGTTTGTGATGGCTTCTTTTACTGGAATATTTCCTTATGTTCTCAGTGACCCCATTGGCCCTAAGGTCCTCCCCCTTGCAGGCTGAGTCCCTGTGTCCCCCTCCAACCTTCAGCTCTGTCTAGCTCCAGCCCTCTTGAATGTAGTGCTCTGTGATGGGCATGGTCTTCCCACAGCCTTCCGCTTCCTGCTCACTGTCTGCAGAGGGCATGGGCTTTGCTAACTGAGCTGTGTAGGGTTCCTGAGCGTGTGGTTTTGAGCGAAGCCTTGTCTCATCTCTTTCCAGCCCTCAGCCCAACTTGGGGTAGGTTGTAACTGCTTCAAGGGGGCTGGTGTTCTGGCTCTGCTCTTGTTAGCTGCCCTGGGGCAGAACCCGGCAGTTGGCTAACATCCAGGCATAATTTTCTCTCTTCATTTGTGGCTGACTTTTCACTATGTCCATTGGGACATTGGAGACCCCCTCCCCTGTGCTTGAATGAAACGGTGCCTTTAGACAAAGAGCTCTTGCTGTCCATCTTGTACAGGTGCTATACCCTCTCTTTGTTCAGCTTATTTTTTGGAAAGGTGCCCGCTGACCTGTCCACCATGTTCGGGCTTCCTCGCTAGCCTGTTAGCCTGCGGAGACCAAGCTCAGCAGCCATTCCTGGACCCCAGGTACAGAGCACCAGTGCTGGACAAATCTCCGTTGGCAGGATTGCTATGAGAGGTGGAATTTGTCCCTCTTGTTCCCAAGTTGACTGGGTACTGTGATTTTTTGGACATTTCTTTTCAGGTATGTTCTTAGGAAGGCAGTAACATCTCTGTGCGATTTCATGCCTCTGAAGTCCCTGGCTCTTGTCTCCTCTCTGGTTGAATGTAAGTGACCTGGTCCATGAGCAGTGAAGGAATTCAAGGTGTAAGTATGTGTATGCATCAAGATTTAGTATTTTTTGTTTATTATACTTACCTGAAATCTTAGTTTCGTTTTTTCCAATAATTCTGCCTAAGATATCTGTTATGTAGTTTACAATCTCTTAAAAAGTTTTTAAAATAACAGTTGTACTCAGTTATCTGGTTATGTGGCCTCTTGGGGAAATAATTAAAATCCAAATCAGCCAACCCAAAAATCTCTTCGCCAAAGCAGAAGAAAAAGAAAAACAGTTTTATTGTTGCATAAAAATTAAACTTGAAACAAGAATGCACTGAGCTTTGCAGGCAACGTGCTGAAGAGATTGAAGAGACAGAAAGAAATCTCACCGTTCTCTGCAGTCAGGCAGGTACACCCATTACACACCTGTTCTCAAGGTAAAGGGTAATGTGCGAACACAGTTCTTACTACACTTTCCTGGTGCTTGGGGTGGCCATTGTGTTAGCCTTTTGCCTTTGTCCAAAGGAAAAATAGCCTTCTCATATCTTTGTGATTGGGGGTGGTTTTATACCTGGGAGCCAGGTGCCAAAGTCAGGCACTTGGTTAGGGTCCTGCCCTTCCTGAGACTGGGAAGTAGGCGGCCTGTCCTCCTGAATGCCATCAAAGAGATAGCTCCTAGGTCCTTAAGAAAGACATCTTGGGTGGTAAACTGGATAAGGCTTATTAGCTTTAGAAAAGATTTACACACATTTCAAAGGGGCAGAGAAAGAATGTACAATTACGGGTTTTCTGAAGTAAGTGCTTTTTGAATAGGAGTCGGGGGAGTCTCCCTTTTTTGCATGACGGAAAATTAATCTTTTTTCTTATTTTTATTTTATGTGTGCCGCTGATGGCCTCTGAGCTCTTAGTCCCCTAGAGGTGTTAGCTGCTCTCCTGCATGCTCTGGGAAGGGCAGGGAAGGGGCACCAGGGCCAACAATGTGGACCCTGTGGAACCACTGGACAGCCCTGTGTCCCACCACCCCTTCAGGCATCTCCTCCAGTCAGGGATCAGAGACCCTCAGAAAGAAGCAGATTGGAGTAGTGTCTTTGGGATATGGAGGGGGCTGGGAGATCAGGAAGGGCAGCCCTTCACTCATCAGGAATTTTTTTTTTTTTTAAGATTTTATTTATTTGACAGAGAGACACAGCGAGAGAGGGAACACAAGCAGGGGGAACGGGAGAGGGAGAAGCAGGCTTCCTGCAGAGCAGGGAGCCCGATGCAGGGCTCCATCCCAGGACCTGAGTCGAAGGCAGACACTTAATGACTGAGCCACCCAGGTGCCCCTCATCAGGGATTTTGATCCGCTTCCATTACCCCTTGGAAATGAGGCCTGGCTGTTCCTGCTGGCTTCTGAGGGAAGGGCACAAACCCACACACGAGTCTCCCCCAGCGCCTCTCTTCTTTTCACTGTTTCTGTTGGCTCCTCTGATTGAGGCTTTCTTTTTTTGCTCTCCGGCTGATTTTGTTTTTTTTTTTTAAAGATTTTTTATTTATTTGACAGAGAGAGAGACACAGCGAGAGAGGGAACACGAGAGAGTGGGAGAGGGAGAAGCAGGCCTCCCGCGGAGCAGGGAGCCCGATGTGGGGCTCGATCCCAGAACCCTGGGATCATGACCTGAGCCGAAGGCAGACGCTTAATGACTGAGCCACCCAGGCGCCCCTTTCCGGCTGATTTTGGAGTAGAGAGCCAACACCCCAGTCTATCATCATCTTGATCTAAGAGCCATCATCTGTTTACCATCCTGCTCAGAAATGGGTTGCCTCTTGGGGTGCCTGGGTCTGCCTTCGGCTCAGGTCATGATCCCAGGGTCCTGGGATTGAGCCCTGCATCGGGCTCCCTGCTCAGCGGGGAATCTGCTTCTCCCTCTGCCTTTTCCCTGGCTTGTGCTCTCTCTTGCTCGTGCTCTCTCTCTCTCTCTCAAATAAATAAAATCTTAAAAAAAAAGCTTTATAAAAAAAAGAAACGAGTTGCATCTTACTCTATAGAACCTGTACCAGTAAGTTCATTTAAATGCTCTCTGAAAATACTGCTGCAGAATGAGTGAGCCAAGGCTCTATTTCTGGAAAGCGTCTTGGTGTGGTGATGCTCCTCCGGAGATGTTTGGCTGAACTGGTGAGGCAAGTGGCTTGAATCTGGCATTTATAGGTGGGATCCAGGGGCTGCAGAGTGTAGGGTGGTGCAGGCCTGGCCTGATACAGACTTGCCAGGAGCTCCTCTTGCATCTGCTTCTTACCTCCCAGCCCTGATTCGAGTTGTTTCATTTCCCAGTAAGAGAGAACCCAGATTAGTGGCATCATCTAAAATAAAATTCCCATTGTATCTCCAGGCCATGGCTGAGGAACAAGAAAACTCATGTGAGATAAGAAAGAAGAGGCCTCAGGACTAGGGGTGCTCTCTTAGTTTACAGACATTTGACCAGAAGCCTCTCTCCAGAGGATCAGGACAGAGAGAAGTCACAGAACGGAGCCGATTTTCCAAGCCGCAGAAAATGATCAAGTCACAGGTGAGTTCTTTGTTCTCCAACAGTATTTTTCCGTAGGCGTGACAAGGCTTATGGGAACGCTCTTAAATACATTTAAATCATACTCAGAAACAAACTTGGGAAAGAAGGTGTCAGAGAACAAGGTGGATTATGGAATCACACAAAAGTCTTAGAGCCGAAGCACAAATATATAGGAAATAAAGTACTTCGTTGCCAGACGAGAGCTACAGGCTGTGCTCAGATATTCCCGGAAGTGGACATGGGAAGGGAAACAGTAGTATTACATGGTTTCCTCTGACAAAAAGCAGACCAGCTACTCAGTAGAAGCAGACATTTGCTAATGATTGCTTACAGTGAAGACATTTGGATAGCTGTTTATGTGGATGATAGAGTGGACAAAGTCCTAAATAGCGGCCCTATGATACATAAACCCTGCAATAAATGAACTTATTTCCCAGTGCTCTTTCTTACAGAGTTCCTCAGTGTGAACTAAGGGCATGAATCTAAAGTAAAATTCAGAACACATAGTTTGCTACAGGACCAAACCAGTGGACCTGGACCACCCATCTTACCCATATTCTAGTATTAGGAAAGAATCCTAAGGGGTTCCTGGGTGGCTCAATCATTAAGCGTCTACCTTTGGCTCAGGTCATGGTCCCAGGGTCCTGGGATTGAGCCCCGCATTGGGCTCTCTGCTCAGTGGGAAGCCTGCTTCTCCCTCTCCCACTCCCCCTGCTTGTGTTCCCTCTCTTGCTGTGTCTCTCTCTGCCAAATAATAAATAAAATCTTTAAAAAAAAAAAAAAAGGAAAGAAACCTAAGTCATCTGGCAGAATTGATCATCACAAAATCTTCAAATGGCCCCCATAAATATTCCCTCAGTTGGAATTTTGATACATTTTAGGTAGATGTGTTTTTGCTTCTCTTGGCAAAAGCTGGGCATGGAAGTATCTACCTTTAGTCTTTTTACTTTTTTGACTTAACGGAGAGTGTCACAATGGTTGGGGTACACACAGCAGCAGCGCAATCCCAGAGGACATATGGTTCTCCTAGAAACAAAGGAATTACAGAGGGGACCCTCGTCAGGGCCTGCTCTAGTCCACAGCTAGGTTAACACAGCCCCCAGTGTGGGCCCTTCTGCCCTGGGGTTTTTAGTCAGTCTGGATAATGTGGTTTTAGAAGGACTGCTTGGGGCATTTCCTTCCCAATCACTTTGTCCACGACCTCAGATTATTAGTCCACACTTTGTTAGATGTGGGCACCATCTGTGCATGTTTGGCCTGGAAAGTGCAGGAGCAGAGTCTGTCCTCCGCTGTCTCCCCATCGGCCCGTCAGGAAGGCATCTTTGTTGCCCCAGCAGTCAGTCTAAATCCAGAGCATCCCCATGAGCTTGCAAAGGCAGCACTGAAAGTTGTTTCTTTTGGTTTTTCTTTTTTGCAGTAGGAGGGGAAGCTTTCAGGAGTAAGTCCAAAAAACAAAGATCATTCGTCTCCTCCAACCCCATGCTCCCTCAGGTGCTAGCTTTATTTTGTTTTTGTTTTTCTGTTGTTAGAATCAGTGTGTCCCATTTACACTTGATCTTAGCCAAAAGGCCGAGAAGCGATCAGTGTGTCCCATTTAGTAATCAAAACTTTTTAAAAGTTCATCTCCTGTTTTCATCCAGACCCTTTGTCTGGAAAGATTGTATGCAAGAAGGACAAGTATTATGTAACTTAACCAGAAAGATGCATCATGTTTAAGATTTGGCTAGCTAGGGGCACCTGGGTGGCTCAGTCAGTTAAGCGTCTGCCTTCAGCTCAGGTCATGATCCCAGGGTCCTGGGATCGAGCCCCACATCGGGCCCCCTGCTCAACAGGGAGTCGGCTTCTCCCTCTCCCTCTGCCCCTCCCCCCCATGCGCGCTCACTCTCTCAATTAAATAAATAAAATCTTAAAAAAAATCGACCTAATTAGGAACAGATCTTACTTGTATCCAAATGTGTCACCCAGCAGGAGGGTTCATTTTACCTGCTAGTCTGGGGCTCATCTGGGGCATGAGCTAGAGCCCACGAGGCAGGTTCAGTCTTCCATATAGCTGCTGTCACGGCCCTGGCTGTGGTCGCTGCTGTCTGGGCTTAGGGGCGAAGTCTGGCCAGACGGTACATAGGCAGTAAGTCCACACCAATAGCACATTCAGCAGTGAGGTGCTAGTATCACCAGAGGACTAGTATCCTCTGGTGCCACGTCGGTGTAGGGAAGGGCAGCTTTCCTTGGGAGGCCAGTCAGGTGAAGCCTTCAGTTTACCTGTGCTTGGGCCTTAACCAGGAGCTTGACTCCTCATGACTTCTCAGACGTGTAACCAACATTACAGTCAGGACTTGGAACGGGTCCAGGTCTCCAGAGACATTCCCCGTCTCGCCTTCATGCGTCCTGCAGTCCTGGCGACAACCGATCGCTCTTGTCGCTGCAGTTCTGCCTTTTCCGGAATGTTGGAGAATGGAATCATACATACATACCCTTTTGATACTGGCTTTTTTCACTTAAATCTTTGAGATTCATCCATGTTTGAATCAGTAGTCTGTTCCTTTTATTTCTGTGTCCCGGAACGGTAACCCATCATACGAACACACCAGGTTGCTCATCCTTTCGCTTTGGAAGGACATCTTGGTTGCTTCAGTTTTTAGCGGTTGTGTTCATCTGCATACAGGCTTGAACATAACTCTTGAGGTGAGCAGGTTTGTGAGAGTAGGGTTGCTGGGTTGTGTGGCAATTCTGCATCCAGCTTTATGGGAAGCTGCCAAAACCTCTTCCAAGGTCACTGCATTCCCACCTTCATTGCATGAGAGTTGCTATTGCTGTGAATCCTCACTGGCATTTGTCACTTTTTGTGTAGGTTTTTTAAATTAATTTCAGCAATTCTAATAGGTATGTAGTAACATCTCATTATAGTTTTAATTCATATTTACCTATTGACAAATGATGCTGAACATCTTTTCATATGTTTATTTTTTATCTGTATATCTCCTTTGGTGAGGTGTGTGTTAAGATCTTTTGCTCATCTTTCTTTTTTGCTTTTTAAATAAGAGGGGTTTTGTTCATTTTAATTCCAGTGTCATTAACATGCGATGTTGTATTAGTTTCGGGCGTGCAGTGTAGGGATTCAGCACTTCCACACATCCCTCCGTGCTCCTCACGGTAAGTGTACGCCTAGTCCCCTGGACCTGGTTCACTCCTCCCGTCCCTCCTCCCCTCTGCTAAACACCAGTGCTCTGTGGTTGAGTCTGTTTCTTGGATTGTTTCTCTCTTTTTTTTCCTTTGCTCATTTGTTTAGTTTCTTCAATTCCACATAAGAGTGAAATCAGATGGTATCTGTCTTTCTCTGACCGACCTAATTCACTTAGCATTATACTCTCTAGGTCCATCCACGTCACTGCAAATGGCAAGATTTCATTCTTTTTTTGGTTGGTAACATTCCATTGTGTGTACACACCACATCTTTATCCATTCATCAGTCAGTGGATACTTGGGCTGCTTCTGTAATTAAGCTATTGTAGATAATGCTGCTATAACAGGGGTGCTTGTATCCCTTTGAATTATTGATTTTGTATTCTTTGGGTAAATACCCGGTAGTGCAATTGCTGGGTCCTAGGGTGGCTCTATTTTCAACTTTTTGAGGAACCTCCATACTGTTCTCCAGAGTGGCTACACCAGTTTGCATCCCTCCCTCCCACAGTGTAGGAGGGTTCCCCTTTCTCTGCGTCCTCGCCAACACCTGTTGTTTCCAGACTTGTTAATTTCAGCCATTCTGACAGGTGTGAGGTGATACCTCATTGTGGTTTTGATTTGCATTTCCCTGATGGCAAGTGACATGGAGCATCTTTTTATGTGTCTATTGTCTGTGGAGAAATGTCTGTTTATGTCTTCTGCTCATTTTTAAATTAGGTTATTTGTTTTTGGGGGTGTTGAGTTGTATCAGTTCTTTATATATTTTAGGTACTAACCCTTTATCAGATATGTCACTTGCAAATATCTTCTCCCATTCTGTAGGTTAGCTTTTAGTTTTGGTGATTTTTTCCTTTGCTTTGCAGAAGATTTTTATTTTTATATAGTTCCAATGGTTTATTTTTGCTTATATTTCCCTTGCTTCAAGAGATGCTCACTTTTTAATTGAATTGTTTTCTTACTGTTGAGTGTCAAGAATTCTTTATTCTGGGGGCGCCTGGGTGGCTCGGTCGGTTAAGCGGCTGCCTTCGGCTCAGGTCATGGTCTCAGGGTTCTGGGATCGAGCCCTGCGTTGGGCTCCCTGCTTAGCAGAGAGTCTGTTTCTCCCTCTGCCCCTCCCCTTGCTCATGCTCTCTCTCTTTCTCTATCAAATAAATAATAAAATCTTAAAAAAAAATTCTTTATTCTGGATATAAGTGTTCTGTCAGATTAGTGATTTTCAAATATTTTCTCATAGTCTGTGCCTTGTCTTTCTTTTTTTTTTTAAGATTTTATTTATTTGACAGAGAGATTGACAGCGAGAGAGGGAACACAAGCAGGGGGAGTGGGAGAGGGAGAAGCAGGCTTCCCGCTGAGCATGGAGCCTGATGCGGGGCTCGATCCCAGGACCCTGGGACCATGACCTGAGCCGAAGGCAGACGCTTAAGGACTCAGCCACTCAGGCACCCCGTCTCTTCTTTCTCTTAACAGTGCCTTTCACATAGAAAAAAAATTTAATTTTGAGAAAGCCCATTTCATTGATTTTTTTTCTTAAGTTGATCATATGTTCAGAGTTATATCTAAAAACTTACTGCCAAACCCAGGATCATGCAGGTTTTTTCCTAGAGCTTTATAGTTTTATGTTTTCCATTTAGGTCTGTCATCCATTTTGAATTAATTTTTATATAAGGTCTGAGGTATGTGTTGAGGTTTATTCTTTTGCTTATGGGTATACAATTGTTCTAGCACCATTTGTTGAAAAAACTCCTTTCTTCATGGAATCCTTTTGTCAAAATTCAATTGAGTATACTAAGGAGGGTGTAATTGTAAACTGTTCTGTTCCATTCCTCTATGTATTTATCCTTTTTTTTTTTTTAAGATTTTATTTATTTATTTGAAAGAGAGAGAATGAGAGATAGAGAGCACGAGAGGGAAGAGGGTCAGAGGGAGAAGCAGACTCCCTGCTGAGCAGGGAGCCCGATGTGGGACTCGATCCCGGGACTCCAGGATCATGACCTGAGCCGAAGGCAGTCGCTTAACCAACTGAGCCACCCAGGCGCCCTATGTATTTATCCTTTGACTAACACTAGGTTGTCTTAATTATTGTGGCTTTATAGGAAGTTGTGAAGTCAGGTAGGGTGAATCCCACAACATTGTTCTTTTTCCACATTGTTTTCACTTTGTAGCTTCTTTGCCTTTTGTCCCAAAACCCTCTATGTGCTCTTTCCTGGCCTCTGTAACACCTTCTTTCCTGGCCTGAAAAGACTGAAAAGTTTTAAGAACATGATTTTTATTCTACTCATCTTTATATTTTTGGCACCATTCACAGTTTGGGGAGCTCTGGTTGCTCCATATAGGTGTTCCAGAGGATACGTGGAGAGCTAGTTGTTACCACGTGGGTGCAGATGTGAGGGAGGAGAGTGTTGTAGATGTGTAGTCGTGTTTTTAGTTTTGACAGTAACAGGAAAATAGGACTGTCATTCAGCAGGTAGGTGCCAGGCATGCTGGAGGTCTGACACTTCGTGTGGTTCGGCTAAGAATTGTCCCCACATACCAGTGGCACCTTCTTTGAGAAGGACTGTGCTTATTTAAACACAATGTATTCCAGTTTCTTAATGGATAGGTGGATGGATGGATGAGTGAATTCAAAATGATAAATAGCTTAATAACTTTTTTTTTTTAATTTTTATTTATTTGAGAGAGAGAGAATGAGAGATAGAGAGCACGAGAGGGAAGAGGGTCAGAGGGAGAAGCAGACTCCCTGCTGAGCAGGAAGCCTGATGTGGGACTCGATCCCAGGACTCCAGGAGCATGACCTGAGCCGAAGGCAGTCGCTTAACCAACTGAGCCACCCAGGCGCCCCGCTTAATAACTTTTTGTTTCTCTCAAAGTATAATGAAGGTTAGGATATTATATGAGTTATCAATTGCTATGTAACAAATTACCCAAACTTCAGTGGCTAACAACATAAACATTTCTCTCACAGTTTCTCTGGGTTAGAAGTTTGCCAGCCGTGTTCACATCTGGTTCCCGTTCAGGGTCTCACACAACCCTGTAACGAAGATGTTGGGCTGGGCTGTGGTCCTCTCGGGGTGCAGCAGGGAGATGATCCCCTCCTGGGCTCAGTCACATGGGAGTTGGGGGGCCTCGGTGCCTCTCCACATAGGCATCTCCACAGAACTGCCTCACCATGTGGCAGCTGGATTCCCCCTGAGAGAGCAAGACAGGGCTCCCAAGATGGAGGAAGACTCTCCTCAGTGGAAGTGAGTCAGTAAGGCCAGCCCACGTTAAGGAGGGGAGTTAGAGATGGGCGAGGCTGCCTCCCACGCTAGAGAAGAAAGCCTGTGTCCCGCCATGAGCACCACTGCAGCTTGAACAGTGATGACGCTTTTCCAGATCTCCTTTGAGGATGTGGCTGTGGGCTTCACGTCGGAGGAGTGGCAGCTACTTAACCCTTCTCAGAAGAGCTTGTACAGAGAGGTGATGTTGGAGAACTACAGCAATCTAGTTTTCTTGGGTAAGAATATTCGTATGTAAATAGTGTGTATCCAATAACTGTGGGGCCTCTAAGATGTTTACTGATTTTGGATTTAAGTTTCAGATGTCAAAGATTCTTTGATGTCTATACCCGATTGAAAGATTTTGGTTCACTTGCTTTGTCTTATAGGCTTCATAGTAAATATTCTTCATATTTAAGAGTCCATCAGCCCAAGGAATTGGGTCCAGGTTGTCTTATGTTTCCAATTAACAGGTTATCAAATTATCAAACCTGATGCAATTTTCAAGCTGGAGCACGAAGAGCCGTGGATAATAGATGAAGAAGTTCTAAGTCAGAACTTTTCAGGTGAGAGGTCATCAGGTGCAAGCTGAACCACAGGTTTCTTTCTTTCTTTTTTTTTTTAATTTTTTAATTTATTTGACAGAAAGACACAGCGAGAGAGGGAACACAAGCAGGGGGAGTGGGAGAGGGAGAAGCAGGCTTCCCGCGGAGCAGGGAGCCTGATGCGGGGCTCGATCCCAGGACCCTGGGATCCTGACCTGAGCCGAAGGCAGACGCTTAACGACTGAGCCACCCAGGCGCCCTGAATCACAGGTTTCTGATGATAGGTTGTTTATAATGTTTTGAAAAGTTATTTTGAAATGTTATTTGTAAAACTGTTTGAAGTTCCTGAGTCTGTAGAGTTGGCTCAGGACTGGTGACCTGAGTTCTTCTGCATTTTAATGTGCTCTCTGTCCTGGTCTGCACATCAGGCTGTGCTCTTTGCATGAGCTCACGAGGGTACATACCCCCTTCCCTGTAGAGCAGACCTTGCTCTCTGGGACAAGGATCCTCTTCCCAGCCCCCTCAGCTCCCTTCCTTCTCTCCTGCACTTCCCCTCTGCAGGGTAGGCTTCCTTCTTCCTCCTGAAGAGTTCAAAACTTTGTCCTGTTGCAGGGACGCTGACTGAGTCCTTTATTTTCTTTTCTCCCTCTAATTTGTCTGATTTCTGTTTTAAGCCCATAGAGAGTAGAAGGTGAATCCATGCACATAGAATAAAAACCGAACGCTGTAAGCCTGGTGAGGAGGCTCTGCGTCTCTCCCTCCTCCGTGCAGACTGAGCCCTTTGCAATCAGCTCCTGGGTTCCTTTTGGTGCCTTGATGTTCATCTTCTCCAGGCTCCTCATTAACCCCATGTGCCATGTGATATTTTAACGACATTTATGTTGAAGAACCTCATGGTATGGCAACGTCTTATCCATTTTTTTTGTTTTTTTGTTTTTAATTTCTGTGTCCAGAAGTCAGGGTTAACTCCGTTAGAACTAGTTTCCTCCACGTTTCATACATTTTTCTCTGCACGTGAGCCTTTGATTTTCGTATCCTTTCTCCATGTAGACACTATGCCTCTCTTCAGCTTTGCCCTTTTCACCTCCAGTTAATGTTGACTCCCAGCCTTTCTGAAATCTCTGCCCACTTAGTGTTGTATTATAGGAACCCTGGCCCTGGTCAGGCGTTATCTGGAATTTTTCACCAATTTTTAACCAATTAGGTCTTAATGATTTTTTACCCACATATTAAGATGGCAAGTAACTTATTTTTCTCTTTTCCCTGTAGAATTTATGGTGTGTAATTATTAAATGTTTCATTAATTGAGTGTTGTGCTGCCAGGTAAGGCAGGACCTTTCTTGTTTATATTCTTTAGTGCCAAGGTCTACATCTAAGCAACTTATCTCAGCTCACCTTAGGAAATATTTCAGATGATAGATGTCTAGGTACCATTCACATGGATGATTAGGTCTGGGTATGTGTACCTTAGAAAATACTGTCTGTGAAGGTAGATTTTTCTGTTCACCCATTAATTTAGAATGACCGCTATCCTGTGGAATGAGAGGAATTTAGTGAAAGAGTCATGAAATAGCATTGCAGGAGAAGACAATTTTAACATAGAAGAAAATGGAGAACTATATTTATTCAGTAATTCAGTATTTGAACACAAAGCATTTGTATTAAAATGCAGAGGTTTTTTTTTTTTTTTTTAAAGATTTTATATATTCATTTGACAGAGAGAGTGAGAGCAGGAACACAAGCAGGGGGAGTGGGAGAGGGAGAAGCAGGCTTCCCATGGAGCAGAGAGCCTGACGCGGGGCTTGATCCCAGGACCCCGGGATCATGACCTGAGCCGAAGGCAGACGCTTAATGACTGAGCCACCCAGGCGCCCCTTAAAATGCAAAGTTTTTTTTATCAAGATTAATGATACAGAAAGGAACTTCTTTAGAAATGCAGTTGTGAGTGCACAGTGTTATCCTACATGCATTGAGGGCTTGCTCCCTGCATGCATTGGGGTTACATCAGTGAGAAATCAAACCTCTTCCCTGCCCTCACGGTCTACATTCTAGTGGGGGACGCAGAAGTAAGGTGCTCACCTATTTGATAAGTGCTATGAAGGAATTAAACGGGATGTTGTTAGGATGCCCTTGAAATGATTTTTACACTTGAAGGAGCCACGCCGAAAGCTGGGAAGAGCATGCCAAATAAAAGGCACAGCCATTGCAAAGGTCCTGAGGCAGAAAAGGCCTTTGAGATCAAAGGGACAGGAAGGAATTCATGTGGTGGAGCAGCAGTGAGCAGGAGTGTGTGAGGGGAAGTCGGAGAGGCTGGAAAGACCGGGGCATGCTAGGGCATGTGAGCCATGGCAAAAGCTTGCATGTATCAAAGGGTTTTTTTTAAGCAAGGGGGTAAAAAGCCTGATCACATTTTCTAAAGCTCACTGGCTCTCTGGAGACTAGAGTTGGGAGGGAGCAAGGCTGGAAGTAGGAATATTGTTTGAAAACTAAAGTGAAATGCAAGCAGTATGGACCAGAGTGTAACAGAGAGAAGTGGGTTCACCTGTGCCTGGCCCTGCATAATACCAGTAGGAGACAACTTACTCGTTTTCCAAAATGACAAGATTTTTATTTCTTTTCCTTTTTTTTCTTTCTTTTTTTTTTTTTGGAGAGAGAGAGGGGGTGGGGTGCAGAGAGAGAGAGAGGGAGAAACGGAATCCCAAGCAGATTCCCTGTTGAGCACAGAGCCTGACACAGGGTCAGGTCCCAGGATCCTGAGATCACACCCTGAGCTGAAACCAAGAGTTGGACGTTCAACTGACTGAGCCCGACAGGCACCCCAAGATTTTTTTTATTTCTTAAATATTTTTTGATGGAATTGAACTACTTGAATATTATTTTATATTATTTATTAACTTGTATATATATTAATTTTATTTCTTGTTTTGATTTTAATTTAAAATTTTCATTTCTTTACTCAGATTTCATGAAACCATTTTTTATAAACTTCAGCTGGACTTCACACTTACATGTCTACATATGACCCTTGCTTTTTTTTTTTATTTTTTTAATGCTTTTTTAAAAAAATATTTATTTGAGAGAGACAACACGAGTGGGGGCAGGGAGAGAGGGACAAGCAGACTCCTCTGTGGAACCCGATGCAGGGCTCAATCCCAGGACCCTGGGATCATGACGTGAGCCAAAGGCAGGCACTTAACCGACTGAGCCACCCAGGCGCCCCATGACTCTTGCTTTTAATCTCCAAACTTTTTCTCAGTCTTTTTCATCTCAATGAATAGTATTAATACCTCTACTCACTTAAGCTCAAAATATTGAATCCTTTTATTCTCTATATCAGCAATTCTAGTTGGTCCTTTTTCTGAAATTCTGATATGTCTGAGAATTAGATAAGTCTCCCACACACACCAAAAAAAAACCTGCAGAAAAGAAGTAGTTGCCTTATATTTGAGGTCTTGCCAAATCTTTTGACTTGCAGGGTACCCTCTAGGAATATTACCTCACAATTACTAGTAAAGAATATCATAAAGTAAACAAACCTTCACTTTAAAATATCCAATAAATGATCATGTTGTAGAAATCACAAACAGTTGTACTTACTGGGTGACAAAGAGTCTGTCCTAATGTGTTATACAGAGAGTTCTTGTGGTTTGGAATGATTTTCATGGATAGGATTACATGTAGATTCATTATATAGATTATAGACTCTTAAAATGTCAAAAAAAAAACCTAAATAAAACTGTCGATGCTCGCTATCAGGAAATAGCCTTGATGGTGAAGTCAGTGATGTCAGTGATTCAGGTGACACTCTTGAATGAGAATGTACTTTAAATGTAATGATCGTACAGGAACCTAATGTTTCTCATCTTTTGGATGAAAGCTTGATATCCTGTATTAGCTCTGTATTCAGTATTTCCCCCTTCGTAGGATTCAGCGGTGTATACCAGTCTTGCTCTTCATGTGCTGGTTATTGCTAGTGTTCGCTGTATCATGAGGCCTCTGACTCGGGGGTGTTATCTGTGGTCTTCCCTTGTCTTTCCTCTGCACATATAGCAGATAATCGGATTGTTGTTGAATAAGGAAATTAATCACTCCAGTATTTGAGCATAAATTGCTCATGATCACTGCTCCTTGAGTGTATTTCATCTTTTCTAATTTAAAAGTTCATGTTTCTAAACATTTGTAACTTTTAAATGTTTTCATTTCTGTTAAAAAAATTTTTAGGTTTTTATTTAAATTCCAGTTAGTTAACATACAGTATCTGTCAAAATTTCTAATGTCCAATAAGTAGACATTATATTTGGGAGGGTTTTTGTTTTGTTTTGTTTTGTTTTGTTTTAATTGGGATCCTAGGCTCCATTTCAGTTTTATTCAATGAGTGTAATCATTGGGGGATTTACACAGTATGATTCATTTTTTTCCTTTTTAGAAGAAGTCTGGCTAGATAACAGTCTCAAAATGTGGCACCAGGATAATCAAGACAAGCTTAGAAGTATGGAGAGAGGCCATGAATATGATGTTTTTAGGAAAATATTTCATTCAAGCATTAACTTTGTTCATTTAGGAATGAGACCCCATAAATGTGGCACAGGTGAAAAAAGTCCGAAACATCCTTTTGAGTTTCTTATTCCAAAAAATAACCGTAGAAGAAAGAAACTTGATGAGCTCAATAAGAAATATTTATTGTATGTCAAAGCTGATAGAACCCATGGTGAAAGGCCATACTGTGATTGCAGTAAATGTAGGAAGGCTAGCAGGACAGGGTCGTGGCCCATTGCAAACCGTAGAACGCACACAGGAGTCCATTTATGCTTGGAGTGCGGCAGCATTTTCAGTAAGAAGTCACAGTTCATCATACACCAGCGGACGCACACAGGAGAGAAGCCCTACGGTTGCAGCGAATGTGGGAAAGCCTTCTCCCAGAAGTCACTGCTCACTATTCATCAGAGGACTCATTCAGGAGAAAAACCATATGGATGTGGTGAATGTCAGAAAGCTTTCAGTAGGAAGTCCCTGCTCATTTTACACCAGAGGACGCACACAGGAGAGAAGCCCTATGGATGCAGTGAGTGTGGGAAAGCCTTCAGCAGGAAGTCGCAGCTCAAGAGACATCAGAGAACCCATACAGTCGAGAAGCCCTACGGCTGCAGTGACTGTGGGAAAGCCTTCTCCCAGAAGTTAAAGCTCATTACCCATCAGAGAACCCACACAGGGGAGAAGCCCTATAAGTGTAGTGATTGTGGGAAAGCCTTTTTCTGGAAGTCACAGCTGATTACTCATCAGAGGACTCACACGGGGAAAAAACCATACGCATGTAACGAGTGCACAAAAGCCTTCAGCAGGAACTCGCTGCTCATCAGACATCAGAGGATCCACACGGGGGAAAAACCCTATGAGTGCAGCGAGTGTGGGGAAGCCTTCATCAGAAAGCCACAGCTTATCAAGCATCAACTAACTCACACGGGAGAGAAGAACTACCAGTGCGCTGATTGTGAAGAAGCATTCTTTAAGAAGTCAGAGCTAATCAGACATCAGAAGACTCACTTAGGGGAGAAACCCTACGGATGCGTTGAATGTGGAAAAACCTTCTTTGGGAAGTCACAGCTCCTAACACATCAGAGAACTCACACTGGAGAGAAACCGTATGAATGCAGTGAGTGTGGGAAAGCCTTCACCCAGAAGTCAAGCCTGATTTCACACCAGAGGACACACACAGGGGAGAAGCCCTATGAGTGCACAGAGTGTGGGAAGACCTTCAGTGAGAAATCAAGCCTCATTCATCACCAGAGAACCCATACTGGAGAGAAACCCTTCGAATGTAGTGAGTGTAGGAAGGCTTTTGCCTGGAAGCCACAGCTTCTTAGGCATCAAAGAATTCATACAGGGGAGAAACCCTATGAATGCAGTGAGTGTGGGAAGGCCTTTGTTCAGAAAGTGCAGCTCATTAAGCATCAGAGAAATCACACAGGAGAGAAAACCTATGGATGCAGTGATTGTGCAAAAGCCTTCTTTGAGAAGGCACAGCTTGTTATCCATCAGAGAATTCACACAGGAGAGAGACCCTATAAATGTGGTGAATGTGGGAAGTCTTTCACTAGAAAGTCTCACCTTATGAGGCATCAGAGAATTCATACAGGAGATAAATACTATGGGTGCAGTGAGTGTGGGACTGCTTTCAGCAGGAAGTCGCAGCTCATGATTCATCAGAGGACTCACGTCCTCTAGAAACCATGTGAATGCTGTGAACGTGGAAGATTTACTGTCAAACGTCATGCCTTCTGACATGTCCAAGGACACACACACGGGAGGAACCCTGTCAGTGCACTGGGAAGGCAGGTCTCACCCAACAACTTGGAGAGGAGGGAACTTGTTTATGTAGACAGTGTAAGAGAGCCTTCTCCCAGAACACACAGCTTGTTACACATTAATGACTTAACGTGGAAGTCTTACCAGTATCGTGGTAGTACAGACCCTTGTAGTCAGAAGTGACAGCTCATTGTTAGAGGACCTACACTTGAGGAGAAACTGGACTGTTGTAAAAAGCAAATGAGAGGTTTCATCAAGAAAGGATAACTCAGTACACTAGAGAATGCATACACAAAGGAAATACTGAATAGTATGAATGAGAGATTTCAATATGGAGAAGTCCTCATGTGAAGAATTTTGATAAGCATGATCCTCTTGAAGGAATTCTATAACACTGTGTTTGTTGTATGTAAGTTATTATAAAAAATAGTTATTTTTAAATGGTAGATGTGTTTTAAGTGTGAAGACTTCTGCTTTCTGCTGTGGTGGTACAGCAAGCACCAGATGAACTCCCCTGCCTTCAACATCTAGAAACTGTAAAATGTATGTGAAAGAATAGTTTTGAGACTTATGGCAAGCAGAAGCTTGTGATCCCCGGCAGAAGGTGGACAGAGTGAGGTGAGCCCCACAACAGCCCAGCCTAGCGCCTGGTGGCAGCTCCCAGGCTGCTGTTCAGGGAAAGGAACACGTGGTCTTGTTGAAGAGAGCTGCTGACGTGGCCTTTGGGGAGGCCACAGTAGCTAGAATTTGCAGGGAAAGGAGAAGAGGGAGCTTTACAGAGAGAGGGCTGCAGAAATCTATGAGAAGTCCCCTTGAGTCTTTTGGCTTAGTGCTGATTTGCATGTGTGTGAAAGGAAAAGGTGTGCTGGAAAGCGGGCATCAGAACAGTTCCCAGAAGTCAGTGCTGGGATGGGAATAAAGTTCCCACCAGCTAGATTGGAACAGCTTTGAACACATGGGGCATCTGTAGGATTCCCAGCAGAGTATGATCTTGTGAAGTAACTGACCCTAGATTAAAAGCTACTCTGGACCCACAATGTCTGGCATCTAAACACTTACCTGACATGCAAAGAAATGAGAATACGACTTGTAACCAGGACAAAAATGAATCAGTAGAAGACATAGAAGAGACTGGAGCACTTGGCATTGGACAAGGGTGTTCAAGCAGCTCTTTCGAATATAGAGAAAAACATGAACGTGACAAGACCAGAGTGGAAGGTGTATTTTAAAAAGCCCAAGTGGAACTTCTCAGGATGAAAACAGCAGTATCTGAAAATTAAAAAAAAAAAAAAAAAAATGACCAAAAAAACCAACTCTGGGTGAAATTAAGAACAGATGAGACATAGAAGAAGAAAAATTGATGAATTTAAGTAAGAATATAAACTGTCCAACAGATGAACAGAGAAAAACAGCCTGGAAGAAAAGAGTGGAGGAGAGCAGAGTCCTAGAAGGAGAGGACAGGGAAGAGAAGCAACAATGTATCTGAATAAACAAGGGCTGAAACTGTTACCAGTGGGATGAAAAGTGTCACTCCTCCGCATATCACTCCGCATATCCAAACAAGATACATAAAGAGAATCCTGCTAATGGACATCATAGTCAAATGGATGAAGAACAGTTGTAAAGCGCCTCGGGAAAAACAGGACGCGCTCACAGAACAGAGCAGGCCAGCTTGCCCTGGGCAGAGACTGCTCGAGCCACAGGACAGCAGAGTGAGCGACCACTTTGGATTACTGAGGGAGAAAATAAAACCCCTGCAACCTGGCGTTTGTGTATTAACCATCAGAAATATCTTTCCAAAATTAAAGGTAAGAAGACTTTTTCAGGAAAACAAAATCAAAGAGAATGTATTAGCTGTAGGCCTTCCTTCAGGAAAATTTAAGTAAGTTTGGGGGCAGCAGGAAAATAATCCTAGGTGGAAACGTGTATCTACAGCAAGAAATGAAGAGTTCTGGGAATGGTAAATATCTGGGTAAATATAAAAGATTTTTTTTCTCATTTTAAAATCATTTAAAAAGGTAGTCGATTGCATAAAGCCAAATAGTGACAATGTATTGTGGGTTATGATCTATTTAGAAGTAAAGTATATGACAACAACAACACTTACGGATGAATTTTCTAAAATAGTTAAATAGACTGCATCATCTGAGTCAGAAATCTGCTTCCCCAGGGCTCAGGGTGACTTGTATCTGTAGCATCTACTCAGCAGAGTTGCACGTGTGATGGACCTGCATACGTGCTACTTGTTCCCTGCTCCCCCTCCTCTCTCTGCACCCCGGGGGCTGCCCTCTAGGGTTTCTGCCGAGGTGCTAGATCAGCCGTGGGAGGAGAGAGGCTAGGACATTTATTCCTCCCCGCCCTCCCTTACTGGACCTTGGTTTTGGCAGAGTCTGTGCCTGTGTGGTTACAGCTCCCGCTGGGCAGTCCTCCTCTGGGGCTGTAGACACTCCGTTCTCAGTTCACGCCTCCCTCTCCTTGCTCTTCAGATGCTTCACCATCCCTAGTTGGTGTCCTTAATTCTGAACACATATCTGTAAATAGTCCCTCTATTAAATGTTGTTGAGTTAATATTTTGAGTGTACCCTTTGTTTTCTGTGCCATGTTGAAGGATGAGCATTTAACAACATTTTGAGTGTGTCAATTACTGGTACATGTGCCTCATAGGGCAGAGACTGACATCTGTCAAGATTTCCCACACTAAATGTCAGTATTTTCTCTTTTTTTTAAACAATTCAGTAGCAATTATGACAAGTAACAAAGTTCTTTGTGTTTTTTGTTTTGTTTTGCTGCAAATGTAAATGGCTCCACAGATTATCATCTGCTGCGTATCCAATGGTCTTGCAGTTATTACTAACCCTTCTTCAGTAATAGAAGCTGAAACATTTATGAAGTCTAATGCTACTCTAGATTAGCCAAGCAATTTACAAAAACACATTGGCATTTATGTTCAGTATGTATGGACAAGAAAAAAGATAACCAGGTCCTGAGTGAGGCAGAAAGGAATGATGCCTCATAGGTTCCAGTATGTCCTTTAGAAACACTGCTGTGCATACCCTCCATATTCCATATTCTGCTGCTTTTCTATATGATCCATGTACTCTGTAACCCATGGACAAGATTTCCATGTCTGTAGTCAGAATTGCCACAGAGTCTCTCTGAAGGCTCCACACCGGTGCCCGTCACCAACAGCATAGTGTCTGGGGAAGTTAGAGGCGGTCAGGTTGAAGTAGACTACCAACGAGCCCCAAGACAGCAGCCCCATCCGCTGTCATTTGTCAGATACCTCTTAGGAAGTTTACCTTCCTTTATCCGCTCTCACCTGGTCCTTTTCTCTTGGTACCCGGACGGCTTTTGAAGGGAAGTAATTGCCATCAGGCCACACAGCTGCATTTTCTCTCCAGGTGCTTTTGCATTTCAATATGCATTTTTTTAAAAGATTTTATTTATTTATTAGAATGAGAGAGAGAGAGAGAGAGAGCACATGAGAGGGGGGAGGGGCAGAGGGAGAAGCAGACTCCCTGCATATATGCATTTTGAAGAAGCTTTTCATGCAGGTCTTCCATTTTGTATAACCCCGAAAGATACCATTCACAATATAGTCTGTGCCAAAAAACTTGTGTTTTTCTCTGGTCCTGTCCTTAGGGAATTAGCCAACAAAATCAGTGTTTCGAGGCGTGGACATAATTGGATTACAGCACTGTTACCTCTAATGGTTTCTCTGTAACAGGACTATGTGCTTTCTGTGTGATAGCAAAATGGTTTCCACCAGCACAACTCTCCCTTGGCCCCCTGCATTTGTCACAAAGTGAAGGGAAAGGCCGTGCTCACTCTCAGCTTAGAAAACTTTACCTCATGATGTCTGTCTGCAGCTTAGAAGCAGGCAGTGTAACATCTCATGACCAGCTCACAAGGATGACAAGTAACTGTTCCACGGTCCCCTCTGTGGATCAGGTGATGCTTCTCTGATCATTGTTTATTTCCTTTGTGGGGTCTTCGCAATTTAGATCAGTCATTACTCATTGTATCCAGGTAGTCTTGACATCTTGTCATAGAGGCTGTTACTTTCAGAATTCTAAGATTAAATAAAGCAGGGAACACCAACTTTATTGAATACTTAAATCATTATACTTAGGTATTTTACAACACCTCCATCATTAGAAGTGCCCACAGAAGCAGTCACTGCTAAGATGGAGGGAGAATGCAAGCGAAGTGACATTTGTAATCTGGGGTTCTCATTAAAGCATTGCTCTCATTCCTATCATTAACATTTATTAACACATCAAGCTCGGATTCACAAGAAGATGGGGAAGCAGATCTAGTGTATGTAAGAGAGTGGGCATGTTAAAGGAGCGTTTAAACCGTGGACTCGATACCACTTTAGCCATCAGAATGGTAGTGTGTGTTTATCTCCAAATTGATGATCACAGGGCAGCCCATAGCACGTGAGCGAGTTATATATGCTTACTCTATGGTATATGTTTGCACAGAGCAGAATGTGTCCCGTGATGACCCCTGAGCTCTGGGCCGGCAGGGCTACACATACAAGGTTGGGGCAGACAGGGTTGCCGTCCCTTTTGTGTGTGTGCACTGGCTGGTCCGTTTCCACTGACTGGTGCACCTGGAGAGCAAGGGTGCCTAGGGGAGCAGTGTTCACACCTATTGCCCACACTTCTCTCTGCTGTATTTGAAAAGAAAATCTCTGTACGTCTATGTTTACTGAGTAAACTGTTCGACAAATTAGTATGTGTGAGTGTGATCCTTGGTAACAGTGAGCTCTAGCTTCCATTCAGCTAGGTATCCCAAACCAGATCTAAGCTCTGGCCAGTTTCCAACACGTTTATCATCCACATACGCCTGAAACGTAAAGAGAAAAGCACTGCTCGATTCAGTTGTTGG